CATACCTTAGGTGACTATTGCACTGTAGATCTTGAAATATATGTTTGGGACAGGTTTGGGGCGTTACAAATATGAACATATGTCTAAGCTGTTTTGCCAGATGTATAATTGTTTTCCAGTTTCAATATGATCCTCATGTGACACATTTTGCTTTCCCTGGAGAAACTTTCTAAACAGTTACTCTTGCACAGTACCATTCGTTTTTTTTTTTTTATTTTTTATTTTTATTTTTATTTTTTAATATTCTTTAGTACTTTGTATCTTTTTGTTGTCATACATATCTAATTATAATATCTTTTATCAATTATTTTACAGGACTACTTTGAGGTTGTGCACAATAATGTTGGTTATTTGTCTTGGAACCCGAAAGGGTCGCGCCTCATATCTGGTTCTAGTGATGCCCAAGTATGACACGTCTATGTAAATGATTTTTTGTATTATATTTTATCTTCTAACGGAAGTAAACTACCTGTTCATAGTTTTTTAATATTATACCTTAATGGCTAACAGAACTTAACTGTTGGACTACCTGTGCACATAGAAAAAGATAAATGTTGGAAAGTGAAGATTTTATGTTTTGTAATGGAAAAATACAACAGAAACAGCGGTGCACTGTATTAAAATTGAAAACTCAATAAATAGAATAGATCTGAAAATGTATTCAACTCAACAAAGCATTTCCCCAACTATATGCAGGTTGGTAACATGGATGATGTTGCACCATTCTGCTCTATCTAAAGCCATAGCCTCAATTAAACCACATGCATTCATATCTAAGGGGCTTAAAATGTGTTTCAATAAAATAAAAGATACAAAGAATTCTAGATAGCATGAAAAAGAAGAAAATTCATTGTAAAATGAGAAAATGCTATAGCTTTGAGAAAATTGTTTGATATCTTTTAACAATCGTATACCATTGGAGTTCCTTTTTCTCCTTTAATTGCAGTTAGTTTTAGCTGATTTATGAAATGGCATACGATGCATTTTTGCATAATATAGAAGTGGTAAGTAGATGATGTGATCCAACATGTCTTAATCCCTTTGCTTAATGTATTGTTATAAGATGTAATTATAAGATTGACATTTACTGCCCATTTATGACAAACTTCCTCCTTTGTCTGCATTTGGGCTGGTTACATGAGAAATGACAGTAAACATGACTTTGGAAAAGTTAGTAAGTGAAGTCAATAGAAATTTAAATTCACACTTAAGCTTGTTGAAGGTTGCGAAATTCACAAATACTTAAAATTTCTTGCAGATCAAAATTTGGAGATATCCGGGCCCAAAGCTTTTGCAATCTTTTAGCACTGACCTTTTTAGGGACATACAGTGTATACGATACATGCCTGATTATTCTGACGAGTTTGTGGTCTCTGCAGCTCAAGACATTGCAGTAATGATGTTCTTACAGTCTTCTTTTTTGTATGCAGTTCAATATTTTGGTAATCTTAATTTACTGAATCAGTATTTTACTTTGGCAGGTTCATGGAATTGCTGAAGGAAGGGAGGGAGATCTAGTAGCTAAGTATAAGTGTCATATTAGGAGAGTGAGAAAAATTGCGGTAAGAACACATCGAACTCTTTTAGAAGTTGGTTAATTTAGCGAGATTACTTAAAATACATACTGGTAGTCCAAAATTTTCACACGTCAATAAATTTGAAATGCATTTTTTGATTTGTCATCTCAGTATATTTTACTGCTGCTGTTCCTGTTTTAGGTGCATCCTACTGAGCCAAAAGTAGTGTGGACTGCAAGTTTAGATGGGACTATGAGGCAGCATGACCTTCGGGAGACTAGCTTTTGTGAAGATGAGTGCCGCAGTCTCTTAGTAAGTGTTATATTGTTCCTCTTGTATACCTACTTTCTCCCCCTCTTATTCTTAATGCAATCGGCGTATGACAGGGAATGGATTTTGTAAGAGCTAGACCAAGCTATAGAATAGCTTTACACATGGCTCAATCCCAAACGAAAGGGAGAGGTAGAAAGCTGATGTAGCAGGCTTAATATATAGATAATACCAAAAAGTTATTGAATACTATTTGGAAAACCCCTTTTATAAGCCTTAGGTCGAGACGTGAGTTACACTGTGGGTTCTAAGATATGATTTGGAACCAAAGGTAATACATGTAAGCAAAAAAAACAAGGTGCAGTGGTTGGGGGTGGATATACTGATTGGGCAGTGGTTGGGGGTGGATATACTGATTGGCTCAACAGAGAGAGAGAGAGAGAGAGAGAGAGAGAGAGAGAGAGACTTGCAGTAGTAGTAGTATGAGTTAAATACTCACTGGGATGGAGACTTGTGAAATAGAAAGCTTCTTAAATTTAAGTTCTTCTTCAGTGCAAGGTGCCTGCACACGTCAACGGATGATCCTCATGGTGGTGATGTTGCACGGCCAACTGAATTTTTATTTATTTATTTTTATATGGTTGCCATGTCATCGAGCCTTGCATCATCTGTGTTCGGTCGTGTTTCTTTTAGAGTCAGGTCAAAGTTGGGCTTCAAAGAAACTTTGATGATAAACAGCTTTAAAAGAGAATCATCCCTCATCCTACAGCAGTGTATCAGCCCCTTCTTTGATCACAACATTCTGCAAAACAACTGAAGTTGAACCAAGTTTTCCCGTTGCAAAGTATGGAAGTTCCATGTCCCATTATGGATTAAAGAACTAACAAAAGTGAACTCCGGACCATTCTGTGACCAAAAACAGTACTAAAAAATTGACCTTTACACCAAGGATCCTTAAACAGCAACGTATTTTGGCCATCCCCAAATTGAAACTGAACATGCTGCTGCACCACCTCTCTAACTTCAACTAAAGACTTCCAAATAGAAGAGCTAGTTTGCCTGACAACCACATTCCAATAATTAAAATTCTTAGCATACTTAAACTTGAACCAAGATATCCACAATTTGTCCTTGCTGTTTAAGAAATCCCAAGCCAACACACATCTTGAGGCAGTTTGCAAATCAGAAAGTTTTCTAATCCCAAAACCCCCTGCATGTTTAGGTTGAGTAACTTTGTCCCAATTAAGCAAATGCAACTTCTTTGCATTATCCTTGCTTCCCCAAAGAAAATCTCTGCATTTTTTCTGAAGCTGATTGATAGTAGCCACAGGAATATCATATATACTACACCAATATTGAAAGACGGGAATAACCACTGCTCTGATTAATTCCAGTCTACCTGCTAAAGATAGCAATTTAGTGTTCCAGCACATGATTTTGTTTGAAATTTTGTCCAGAAGCTGCTTGCAATGAGACCTCTTTAAACCATTAGGACACAAAGGCAGCCCTAAATATTTAATTGGAAACTCATCTTCACTACAACACTTGCAACAGGACCTGTTTCCTTCTCACAGCTCTCAAGATCAAAACTCTACTCTTCCCTTGATTAATTTGAAACCCTGTTATCTCTTCATGTCTTTTGAAAATAGCAGCAAGAACAGTGGCATTATGCACTGAAGCCTCACAAGCCAACATTAAATCATCTGCAAAGAATATATGGCTAAGAGGTTTCTGAAATTTTTCCACAGCCTTTAACACTGTCAACTCCTTCCTCTTCACAGCATCCTCAACCAAGGTGGAAAACAGTTCAGTAATCAAAGTAAAAAGCAAAGGTGATAAGGGACAGCCTTGTCTCAAACCTCTCTCTGGATGAAAAAAACCTGCAGGAGATCCATTCAATAAAATTGACTATCGAGAAGATCTGAAAATGGCTGCTATCAAAGGTGATAAGGCACATTCCAAGCTCCAATCATTGAGAAGAGGAAGAAGTTTGAGGCAACAGCCCCAACATATTCCTAGTAACCCTAGCTGATGTAGCATACTCAATCTTCTTGGATTTTGTACTAATATCCCCCTTGTTTGTCTTTAATTCCTCCACTGGAAGCTGTGGTTTAACTGATTCAACCATAGTATCTCTATTGCCCACTCCACCATCTGTATCAATCTGCACATCTTCTTCAATAACAATAGGCATGATCCGTTGTTCCCCCAACTCCACTTCTTCCTCCAAAGGTGTAGTGACCATCACAGTTTCTGTAGCATCCCCAGCGATCTCTTTATTTACTGCAGCCACAATACTTAGAACCTTAATCCCTGTGGACTGTAACTTATCCTCCACAATAATTTCCTCTATAGCATCTTCAAATTCATCATTTTCTCCCAATGCAGCAAAGGCATTTGAAACCTGAACTACTGCAGGAGATACTAAAGCATGAGCTTTCACAGGCATAACCTCAATCACCTCATCTGCATTAATATTCTTTCCCTTGTGTTTAACCACCCACTTATCCACCCCCTTCTTGGGTTTAGCTTGAATCACTTTAAGAGGGCACCTATCTTCTAAATGATCCACTTTCTTACATAAAGAACACAACTTTGGTTTCCATTCATATTCTATATCAATATAGCAGTCACACCCATGAATATCCGCCACCAGTGATTCAGGTAGTTCCTCCTTGACCCCTAATTCAACCATGACATGTACATAATCACCCTTATCTCGATGAAGTTCTGGATCATCCATATAGATTGGCTTTGAAAAATTTGAACATACCTTCGAAACCGACTCATCATTATGACAATGAACAGGTAGATTATGTAGCCGCAGCCAAACTGGAACCGATTCCAATACTTCCTTGGTTAAGTTCACGTTTTTGTCCCAGTGCTTGATGATAATAGGTCTAACTTCGAAAGTATGAATCCTAGATAGTGTCTGCATGACTTCCTCCTCAGACTCAAATCAAACTATAAAGAAATTATCTTTCAAATACACTACCGTCACTTTCTTCGCCCAGCGTTTCTCAACGTAACCCTTAAACCGATGATAATAAGGCCTTTTCCCCATAACATACCCTACCACCGAGTTTTTCCAGTATTGAATCTCCTTTGCAACATCGGATTCTGTAATGGATACCTTTGCACCCCGACTGGCACTATGATATGAAAGATTTGTAAAAGGTTTAGTAAGATTGGAAGAAAAAAGATTACGCCACGATGGGGAAGGTGTCGGGCGTGGAGAAGAAGAAGAAAAGGTTGGAAAAGAAGAAGAGAGGATTGGGGTGGAAGACCGGCCCGGAGAGCTTGCTGGCAATGAAGAGGGGGGAAGCCCCTCCTCCATGCTGCTGAACCCCTTGAAACCCTAGTTCGCCTATTAGAGAATATGCATGTATTGGATACGATAAAAATGAACCTTGAGATAAGCTTCTTTGAGAAGGTGACCTCAACTGATTTGATTTTGTGATAAGCGAATGTACCTGGTCATTATTATAACCTGGTTTTATCAATATTTTACCTCTTGTTTTTTCTCTTGACCATACATTGAATTAGTGGCAGCTTTTTGTTTTTCCATTTATGTTTAAACTTTAGGCTTATGAAATACTTAGTATACATCAGGTTCCTCCCCCTCCCAAAAAAAATAAAAAAATAAAACTAAATGCTTTGATTTTGTCTTTTTTTTTTTTTTTTTTTTTTTTTTAATTATTTATTGGCAGTTTGACTTGAGGCTGAAGGGAAAGGCATCATTAGCTGATCCTCCTCGTAGGCCGCTTTGTTTGCAATCTTGTGACATCAGTTCCGCCAAGCCTCATTTGCTTGTTGTTAGCGGGAGGTATCTCATTGTGGTTAATGTTAGTTCCACAACTACTATTTTCTTTTCTTCTTCTTCTTCTAATTATTGTATGTGAAATCTTTCAGTGATGCATTGCTCGTTTATGTGATAGACGAAAGCTGCCAATGCTCTCATCTCGTCACCATAGATCATCAGTGCCTGAATTTGAATACTGTTGCCCGACGCATCTTTCTGTTAGTTCTGAACTTCTTGCATACTATTATTCTTTTTAGTCTTGGTCTTTATTTCAGTTAACGTTTTTTTTTTTTTTTTTTTTGGGTTGAAATTGTAATATTTTTGTATTTTATATTAGTCCTTGTCTTCATTTTATTATATTAGTCCTAGGAAAATGTGTAAAAGTCTAGACTTTGCATGTAAATCTCAATGTGATTTAAGTTTCCTGTAATCTGTCCTTTCAATTTTGCCAGAACTCGATACTTATAGTTAACCACTTCATATATGATTTGTTTAACTCCTTTCTTGTTTTTTTTGAAGAAAATACAAAAATTTAAAGCTGTAGCTTTCGATAAAATTTGACTTTCTCTTGGGGGAAAAATGAAACTTCTTATTTATTTACCAGATGAAGTATGTAATATGAATGCATTTATCTTTGCCAATGTCTAAACAGTCTTGGTGCTGTTTTAACACACTCCTTTTCTTTGCAGAAAGATCGTGCTTCACCCTTGACTCATGCTGCATTTAGTCCAACTGGAGGAGAGCTGCTGCTTAATTATATGGGAGAGAACGCATATCTAATGAATCTTGGATCAGTGAGTGACATACTTTACTACGTTAGTGTTTTTACGTATTCCTTGACAACAATTCCTTGGAGGGGGGGTATGTGAGTACCAACTAGGAAAAAAAACACCCACAAACCAAGATCTAATCAAGAAACACAACAGAACATGCACCACACAAGACAACGATTAACGTGTTTTAGTGTAAAGCCTACGCCCAAAGTGAAGATCAAGACGGAATATTTCAATAGCGAGAAAAGGAGATTACAACTTTCAGCCCCCCAAACCTTAGTTCTCTTTCTCACTATTTTTTCTGCAGTTTTCTTTGTTCTCTCACGCCACACTCCAAACCCTAAACTCAGTTAAATACTGGGCTACAAGAGATACCGAAGCTCATTTTTTGGGTTGTCCTTGGCCGGAGCAAAATTCGGTCCACAACATCACAATTCTGGTTCATTTTACCTTCAAAATATGTTTGTAAAGTAGGTAACTTTTTTTTTTTTTTTTCATTTAATCATCTTAATATTGCCTCTAAACTTTCGCTTGTATGCTCATACTTGCAGCCTGCAGCAGCAATGGAAGTGATGCAACAATATGTTGGCCACACTAATAGAGAACAATTTGCTTTTAAAGAGGCTATTTTTCTTGGCCAAAGAGGTATATTGTTGTTCTTCTGACATATCATCTTTTATACTTTGGCTTATTGGAATAGTAGTCATGTGAAAAGAAGCCTATTTCAGTTAAAAAAGAAGAAGAAAGAAAGCGGTTTAGAAAGAATGCCACACAGCTGAACTTGCAGCTGCGTTCATGATTTTTTCTGTAATGTTGGATGATCTCATTTTTGAATAGTACATATGTCCATTATTTTCAAGTTGTTACATAGCCACCTGACAAGAAGTTTTTTTTTTTTTTTGCCTAGAGAGATTTTGACCTGACTCTTTAGATCTGGACGGAGGCAGCTTGTGTGTTTCAATAACATTCGAGAACTTCAGTGGTTCTTACATTGGCTTTCGCTAAAGTTCAACTAGCTTGTGGGCCTCCTTTTACTTAACCTAGCCTCTTTACAACTGGTGATGAATCTATTCATGGATTTTGAATCTGCTGTGACAAAACTACCTTTGCTTTGGTCTTTCACCCTTTCATCTATATTCTCCAGATTTGTTTCATTCTTCTGTTGCATCACACCAGTAAATTCCAAATTTATGTACTCCCACAACATTCTTCATTCTCTTCTTCATCTTTGCATATCTGGGGGCTTTGACCGGATACATTTGAGAAACCTCCTATAGATATGCACGTAATAGACTTATAGAGTCACTTCGAACGGAACAATTTTTTTTCCCCCTGTAGAGAGTACTCCATTCTCTTTCTGGAAAACAAAGTAGTCTTTACAAATCCATCATAAATTTTAGCGGGGTGGGAGGAACCGACAAAATGAAAGAAAAAACTGAGGCAGGATGTCACAATACTGAAAGGATCTGCAGATTCAGGATTTTCTACTTGCAAAGCAGAAGCATATTGCTGTGACTTTTGCAGAATTCCCTTTTGTAGGGCCCCCAAAGTTCCGCTTTGTTTTATTTTTTTGACATGGGATGAGATTGCTTGAGTTGTTTGAAGTTTTATTTAACTTTCATAGAAGAAACACTGCTGTTAACTTTCCAGAGGTTTATGATTTATTGTTCAGCTGTGTAGCAGTAACACTAGTGATGGGTATCTCAGTAAGTATACAACTTTTTAGTTAAATATGGTTTACTTTCATAATTATGTTCTATGATAGGGGTCATTGTCTGGAGCAATTGCATAAATTGGATTGACAAGCGTGTTAAGATGCAAGTTTTATTTGAGAGAGTAGTCACTTCTTATCCAAGGAGCAAAGTCGGGTTGTCATTTATAGCGGTTTTGGAAAACATATCTTGGGGATTCTTTGTAGATCTTCATCTCCATCTTCTATGGTTGTGTTTGAACGACCTCATGGCACTTTGAAACACATGGGTAGAAAATTTCCAACACGCCACTGATAATTATAATATTTTCTTTTTCTTTTTTCTCTCTCGAATGGTTGAGTTGTGAATGAAAGGAATGATTCCATGCCTTCTTTCCTTATTTATATGGAGAATGACATGCTTTATAGAAAAGAAGGTGAAAATGTATCACCTTGCACCAATGTTCCTTTTTTATTATTTATGCTTTTTTCTCTTTGAAAGAGTGCGCACACAAATCCACACCCACACTATTGCCCCAATGTGAACTTGAGTCATCAACCTCCTATATGGCAAGTATGAGGACATACCACTTGAGTCAAAGGCTTCTTGTTGTATTATTGTTTTTAGTTGTAGGGCTTTGGAAATCCATGTTGTCTTTTGTTATGTGAGGGGGATCGTGAACTAGGGATCGATGCCTTTGGCAGGAGTTGGAGTTCATTCTCAAGATGTGACATGTAGTTTGCCTTGTGTACTCACATTTGTGACACATCTACAGTCATCTTTATTTTTTATTTTTAATTTTTTCACTAAGGGTATTGTATTCCTTAATATCTCTATGTCCATTATTATATTTATCGTGTTTCTCTGTAGGACACAAGTAGTTGCTTGGTTACCAGCTTCGTAAATTAGGAAATACTAGCTTTTAGTGTAGTTTATGGCGGATGTGACTTCCTTACACATTATCTGTCCATTACCATCATATAGAAACTTTGAGGTTGTCTGCTTTATTTGAATCCAGCTTCCTTCATGAGATTTGCAGGTGAATACGTTGCCAGTGGAAGTGAAGATGGCAGACTGTATATTTGGGAGAAGAGAACTGGCAGACTTGTAAAAATGCTACGTGGAGATGAGAAGGGTAACATGTTCCCTTCCCACTCCCAATGAAAACTGAAATTTTGATCTAATTATGTTCCGTGCTCTCTTATTTGTTGTCAATGTCATCCATTTTCCTCTACAGCTGTGAACTGTGTGCAATGCCATCCATCTGATTGCATTGTTGCTACCAGTGGGACAGATGGTTTGGTAAAGGTGAGTTACGTGAGTATGGTAGGGATTTTTGTTGGATGCAGCTGTCCAGGTTGAGTTGTTAACTCACAGTGTTTTATGGTTCCAGATTTGGACACCAAGTGCTTCTGCCCCCCATCCCTTCTAACTCCGGAATGAGCCCAAGCCCAAATTATGAGATTTATGTGAGTAAGTTCATAGAATTCTAGTTTCCTTGAATATTATTATGTCATGCATATTGGTCTGCACGATATTCATGATTTCAATTATGATGCCAATAAAGATTCTATATATTTTGCAATGCACTATTTTACTTTCAGAAGATTGTAGCACATGGACATGTAGATGCAGTTCAACTCATTAAAGCAGTTCAACCCATTAAAGCCTGAATCCCTCATTTTTAGATCTGCAAACACAGTCTTTTGCCATTTAGCACTTCTTTGGTTCTTCCATATATGCTTAATTAATATGCAAACAAATCTCTCTTTACTGTTTCAACTCACTTCCCATGTCGTGTTTCTACTATAAGTCGAACCACTCATTGGAGTTGCTTATTTTTTGAGTTGCCTTTATCCAATTCCATACCTGTCAAACATAGCCTAACTGTTTTCGTGTTGCCTCACCTATCTCAACATTCATGTTCCTTTTTTCACATTCTTCTCTGATGTTGCTTCTTGGTTGCCTAACTATGTGTCGATTATTATGCAGCACTATTATACTGAATTTCTAGTTGCTAACCACCCATAACTTTAATGATATCTATATGGTGTGATTGCAGGTCCGATTGAAGCACTTTGATATTGAAGTTGAGGACGAGAAATTCAATTCTAGATAGTTGCTCGTAAAGATTACTAGATTTTTGTCTCTAACCATTACTTGTACCAACTGCTTGAAAATATCACTACCACATAACACACACACGCTCTCAAAATCCCATGTTATATCTTCTAAAGAAATTGAAGAGGAGAAGAATATATAGGAACATTTTGACCTCTCCGACTGCTTTTCTTTGTTACTTTAAATAAAGTTGTAAAGCATGAATATAGAATGGTAAAAAAAAACATTATTCTCAAAATTGTGGTAAAGTGAGAATTTATTTCAAAGGAAAACAAATGAAATGTGAAATAATAACATATTATTACCTCATATAGGGGAAGAAAATTATTAGAAGTAACATCCACCTGATGGCCAAACATAAACTTCAGAACAATCATTAACGTTTCTAGATTCCAATGAATTGATATACGGTCCAAGCATGATTCACTGCAGGAAAAAACAGATAAGAGAATAATTTTTAAAAAACCGTGCACATAAGAGCAATCTGATGGGTGCTGAATCCAACTTTACTTCATTATTTTTGAAAAAAACACCATTACCTATGATTTTTTTTGCTTTATGCCACAATATCAATAAATAAATATGAACATGAAAGGGAGAACGAAAAAAAAAAAAGGTGAAAAATAAAATGAATGAATAAACAAACTCAATTTCAATTTGCGTCAACTATTCATGTTCTCCTCGCCACAATATGAATGCATCTGAAACAAACTCTATGGGAACTTCTTACGGTTTTGGTATGAATACCCATTTATATATATATATATATATAACAACACATTTTCTTGAGTGAGTTACAATAACAAGTGACAAATACTATAAATGTACAACTTCAAAAAGATCAAATCCATCAACAAAGATCAAGATTAAACCAAATCCAATATCCAATTAATTCCTCTGAAAAAGAATCCAACTAATCAACCAAGTGATAAAATAATTTAAAATTTACCTAAAACTACCACCGAGGAGGCCACCGAAATACGAAGATTGTTCGATGAGCCTGTAAATATATTCAGAATAAAAGGACTGTTACAATCACCAGTATTTAGAAGTTTCGTCAAGTTTCAAGATTATGCGTTACTGCGTGGATAATAGAAAAAATAATTAAAGATCTTGCCTATTTCGATTGGCTTTAACATTGACGATTTGGTGACTCAGAATTCCCGGCAAATCCCAACTAGAGGTCTCTGCCGTTAAAATTACAGTTTCGTTGCGATTGGCCTCTGATTCCATCTTGTGAGGGCTGACCACCAAATCATCACCGTATTAACTCGACGCCATGAAAGGACTGTCTCGTTGCTTGTTCCACAAAACCTAACACTGTGACGTATATACACACAGTGACAGTCAAACGCACACCTCGGTCCGTCTTTCTTTTTTTCTATCAGGGAAAAAGTTAAACCCATTGGTAAGAGTACTTTTCTTAGCTTCTGTTCATTTTCTTTTTCTTTTAAACCAAACAGTGATTAATGTTTGCCCTGAAAGAAGAAAAATAATTCAAGAGACAAAAGATCAATCATTCTCCATGAAGGCCCTGGCGAGTCAAAATTCTTCGGATAAAGTTCTTCAGATAAGGTGCTTTCATCTTGATACAACGAGGGTTAGTTCTCATGAACAGTTATACAATATTATCTAAAATTTTGAATTTTGGAGTAAAATGGGTGAACACCCCGAATAAGCATGATAACCTGAGCTATAACGAGGGATGTTACGAGTTTAAACAACGGGAATATAATTAGGGTCATTTATTTCGTGTCAGAATTAAATAGGAAATTGATAAATATATTAAAAAACAATAATAAATAAAATAACAAATACAAATTGCAATCTAACTCTGGTTGTTCGCATTCGCAAAGTCAAGCTACTCAAAGACTTTCTAGCTCTCGGACCTTTTCTTCTGTGGGCCCAGCACCTCCTCTTGGAAATGGACGGAAAAAGAGAAAACAACAAAGGCTGGTCAAAGAAAAAAAGGCGCAAGTAGGCTGTGAGCTTGAGCTCGCTGATATGGACGCAGATATCTCATCCTGTCTCTTCTTCTTCTTCTACTTCTTCATGCAGTCGTTCCACTGTTAGTTTCAAAATCGATTTTTAGAGAGAGGGATGGAAGGGATGGGTAGCATAGAGCACTTCTTGCATCCAAGCCATCGATTGGTACCAGCGTATTACGCAGCTGGAACAGAGTACCTCTGCAATGGTTTGCAATTTCAAGGGAATACACAAGGGGTATCGCTGCAATCTTTGCAATTTCAATCTGCATCAATACTGCGGGACTTGCCCTAGAATCCTCTTCTCCTTCATGCACCCACACCCACTCATTCTGTTAACCGGCCTATCACCGGACGACACCGTGCGTATAAGTTGCAATGTGTGCGGTGACCATGTCGACGGACTCGTCTATCGGTGCCACCACTGCGACTTCGATGTGCACCCACTTTGCACCCAACTGCCTCAATATGTGCGCCACGTCTACGACCCACTCCATCCCTTGAGACTCATCCGCTCATCATCACAAGTTTTGTGTGCTGTTTGTGGTGGTTCTTGCACTTCTTGGCACTACAGCTGTGGGGTTTGTGGCTTTGATATTCATTTCCAGTGTGTGGTTGTTTCTGCACCGTCTGATCCAGCAACGGTAACACGTGCGATTCGGCCACCAAATGGAGTTTCTTCTGAGCATGTGTGCTGCACTATGAAAGCTCAAAGAGACTTTGACTTTGAATTCCCACCGCCGCCGCCGCAGCAGCAGCAGCAAGAATAAGATTTGATTCAAGACAAGGTGCCGGAAGAGATCCTAACTTCTTCTTATCATCCCGGAATATGGAAGCTAGCCGTGGCTAGCAGCTTTGATGTGAAATGGAATGATGCAGCAATAAGATTCTCCAGGGAATGCACTTCTCAAAGTTCGGGTATGGGAGACTATTAAGATGTTTCCTATTTTAAAAGTTCACTTATGATCATACTTTATGACTTTATGTGGGGCTTGTTCACTTTTTTCTCAAAAGGTCTGTTAAGAGATGATGCACTTCTTTCTAAGTCCCAGTCAGATAAATCAAACCGCATTCTTCCGCCACCATGTGAAATTTTTAGGCGCAGAATAAACTCTTGGCAAAAGGGGGACCTTCTGGGAAGTGGATCGTTTGGAATAGTGTACAACGGCTTCACTGAGTAAGTCTTCCTTAGTACTTCCACTGCCTTCCTAATTTATGTGTTCCTCGCTTTGGTTAATTTTCTTACAGTTTTTACTTCTCACATAACTAAAAACAGTTCGAAAATTCATTTAATTGATGGTTTTTGAAATTTGTTTTATGATTGAATTAAAATTGCCCAAGTTTAGATGACAGTTTTTCCGAAAACATTTTTTTGTTTTAAGAGAACTGAACCAAAAAGGTCCTTAGTTCTTTAAATTATCATCTTTTTTTTTTTAGTCACATGAATATTACTTTTTTCTTTGTCCAGCTACTTTTGAGGTAATCTTTTATTACTTACTTTGCAAATGAACCATAGCTTCCCATTTGTGTTGATTTTTTAATTTTACATTCCTTTATAGAAGTTCTATGAGTTATTTGGATATTCTGTAACCATTCTAATGGTTGACAGATTAAAATAAAAATGAAGCACCAAATTTGGGCTCATAATCATGCTTGTGGCCTAACGGTACAAGGCTCCTACTTTCCAAAGGGAGGTCAGGGGTTCGAACCTCAATGGAGGCAATGTGTGTGAGTCCCAACTAGGAAAAAATCATGCATTTACATGCTTTGATCCTTAAAATTATGTTTTGAATGCATAAAGCGGCTTTAAGTCGGCAGGGGAGTTATATGGATCTTCCCTCACTGAACTAGGTGATTAGGGGGTTTAGAACCTGATATCTAGGTTGTACACTTTTCTTCTATAGTGGAATATTTGATCTTCCTGAACTATGTTCCCTTTTTTTCACATAAAAATTAGTCTCACTATGTGAATGTTTTATGCTTTTTTTGCTCTATATTTTTACGCTATGTCTACATTTAATTGCTTATAGTTATTATGATTTGGATTTCACTTATTCAAGTTAAATTAATTTAAATTTCTATTAGAAGTAGTTATTTTGGTTGTCACGTTATTTTTATTACTATTTCATCTCCTCTTCCTCTTCTCTAGGGAGGAGATCTCCTATTCTCTATTTATGTTTCTTTGTCCTGCAAGCCCCCGCTTTACTTCCTCTTCTTCCTCATATGTCCTTATTTCACTCCCTCTCATGTTATTCTTTTCTTTTCTTTTTTTCTCCCACAGTGATGGATTCTTTTTTGCTGTGAAGGAGGTTTCTTTGCTTGATCAAGGAAGTCAGGGCAAGCAAAGAATTTTTCAGCTTGAACAAGTGAGAAGAATCTCATTTTCTGATGGAATATACATTGAATGTGGTGTATATAAAGCAATTGTATTCATTATCGGTTTGCGTGATTTTTTTTTTTTCTCATCCCTTGTTAATTGGTTCAGGAGATTTCTCTCTTAAGTCAGTTTGAACATGAGAACATAGTTAAATATCTTGGTACAGACAAGGTATGGTTTCTACCTTTTGAGTGGGTTCTTCTTTTGTATTCTTCCTTCTTTCTATGTGTAGTTTCTTCTAGTGATAACTTATTGTTTTACATGCTTCTTTTTGTCGATATGCTTTAAGATGATCTTGTTGAAATTGGTGCATTGCTTTTCAAATTGAAAGGTGATATAAAATCAATTTATGCCTGCCATCATATTGACACTTACCACATGAATTGTAGTTAGCAAGCTTCAGCTTCATACTTGGGTCAACTTTCTTGATCATTTTTCATAATTGGTGTATGTATAAAAAAAGAGAAAAGATATTTACAGGCGCACAGAGGGCATACCCTTAGAGAAGAATTGAAAAATCAATTCTGAAAATGAAAAATTCAATCAAAAAGAAAAACAACAAGCAACTATCTAAGAAGATCTTGAATAGCAACATTGTAGATATCAAGTACTTCAAATAAAATTTGTCTAGCAGCATCTTGAGGTTGTCTAGATAAATGACCATGCAGCCTTCCATTTCTTTCTTGCCAAATAGTCCACAAACCAGCCACAAAAATTGTATAAATTAACTTACTGGTCTGTTGAGAGAACCAGTTGAATATATCTTCAAAAGTGAAAATTGAAGAAATATCATAATTCCAGCCCATAGTATCCACCATCCATTTCCAGAAAATATTTGCAAAAGGACACCCAACAAAAAGATGATCCCTTGTATCACTCTCCTTTAAACACAAAGAACATCTTGAAGCTAAATTCACTTTCCTCCTCTGCAGATTTACCATTGAAGGCAGCCTATCATGAAACAGAAAAACACCAAACACAGACCATCTAGGCCGAGATTTTCCCCAGCAAACCTTAAACCAGTCCACCTCTGGATGGGATATTCTACAATTTTCCCAAGCTGATTTGAAAGAGAAAGGGCCACCATCCCACATAAGTCTATCTTCTCTAGCATGAATAATCAAATTTTGCACATAATCTTTGATAGACCTGAATATACTGTCTTGTAAAAGCTCCAACTTCCATACTCCATTGTCCATTAGATTAGACAAAGGAGTGTCCCATGAAAATCCCAGCCTTCTAACAATTCTGTGACCAAATTTCTGAATCATTGTTTGGCCTTCACACCAAGGGTCTGTCAAAAGCTTAAATCGATGCCCAGTACCAATAGAAAAACTGATGTTGAGATGCATGAGATCCCTAGCATTAATCAAGAACTTTCTTGGTCACTGGATGCTGATTCTGGATGAGTTCATCTAATTCTGATCCGGGTAGTTCTAGGGTTCTAATTTATATTGGTGAAGACCAATTGTCATTTCATTTAGAGCCTACAGAGGAAAAGCCTGACTGGATGACCCTGGATGTGGCATTTCAATTGTAGCTACATTTTTCTTTAGAAGAACTATGTCCGCTTTTTGAGGTTCTCTTTTGTTCTCCTTTTAACTTTTTCTGATTCTTTTTGAAGACGATTCCAAAGTTGTGTTGTGATCTTTTCCTAAGAGCTATAACAGCTGCTAATTGGTGCTTGAAGCTTCTTTTATACCAATTAGTTTGACCTTTGAATGTCAACGTGAAGCAAGAAATAAATTTAAAGCATCAGGTTATGGCCAAAAAAAGAAGGGAAAGGGAAGGTGTTTCTGCTGTTGATGGACCTTTTCAGGAAAAAACTTTAGCAAGAGTTTTGCTCCATTTTTTTTTTCCCTACTTAGTTTTGCTCAATTGTTGGTGGCATTATGTTAATGAAAAAAAGGAAATATCTTCTGTATTTTAGTTTCGGTCTTTGTTTATTGTGTTCCCGTTGTCTCTTTCAATTTTTATTTATGAGGATTGAGGTTTATGTTTTCATTTTGTTTCTGTATGCAAAATGGTCTTCCTAGGATGATGGCAAACTTTATATCTTCCTTGAGCTTGTAACCCAAGGTTCACTTTCAAACCTCTATCAAAAGTTTCAGCTGTGGGATTCCCAAGTTTCTGTATATACATGGCAGATTTTGAATGGTTTAAATTACCTTCACAGCCGAATGTGGTTCACAGGTGATACATATAATATTTCCTTTGTCTCCCTGCACTTCACGTTGGACATTCATGCTTATTTCGTCTGCTTTTTCACACAATGTTCAATCATATGAATGCATTTTGTTGCCAGCTTTTGCTTTATTTTTTTCTTTTTTCTTTTTTCAGTGGCTAATGTTTGCTGTTATTTGATTCTTTTTCTTTTTTCCTTGCCTGTGGCTTTTTAAAGTTAAAAAGATGTATTCAATATGGGAACCCTTTGCTTTTTAGATGGATATTTGATTGATTCTGTCCCTATTTTTAAAGCCATAATGTGCAGTTATGGAAGAAGATAGTACAATTGTTCACATCAGCACTTTCTTTGGTAATATCCAATGTTGTTTTGGTAATAGCAGTGGCCTTTATATTGCATGCACTTCTCAGGCTCAAGGTACTGAGAGTGTTAAAAAATATTAAGAAACAAAGTGAGAGAAGCAAATTACAAAACAGAACAAAACTCTCATGCTCATCCCATTATTTGATCAAGAAATGTTCTGATCAAATGACTAGAATGCCCTTACTTTAGACTCTTGAAATATTGTAATCTGAGCCCCAGCTTGTCGCTTGGTAAAGAGATATCAATTATGCTTATCTAGTTACGAAAATAATTCAATTAATTTTCTACCATGTGCCTTAATAGAGGTATGTTGGGATATGTGTCTCAAATTCTTGTTATGGAGCTTGAAGGATGTTGTTCGAAGAAGTCCAACCAGTTGCACTATTAGCAACTGGTCCCAAAGTTGCAGTTGGTCTCAGAAATTTCGCTGCAAAAGTGCAACTGGTCGCACTTGTCTTATATGTGCGGGATTTCTAAACGAGTTTTGTGTTTATAAAAGGTTGTTGACTTGTGGAGTAAGTTGTTTCTCATTAGAATTATGTCTTATATGTGTGGGATTTATTTTCTTGTTGAAGGATTTATATATTTAAGTTACCCCCTCTCTAACAGCTTAAGCTTTTAGAGTAGATGGTAGTTAACATGGTATCAGAGCCAAAGGTTTTGAGTTCAAACCTCACCGTCACCCTAATTAAAAAATTGAAAAACAGTGAGGGGGCGTGTTTAAGCTGTTAGAGTAGATGTGGTAGTTAACATTTCTAAATGAGTTTTGTGTTTCTAAAAGGTTGTAGACTTGTGGAGGAAGTTGTTTCTCAATAGAATTCTATTTTAGAGATGTATTTGGATTTGGTAACTT